TTTAGGAGCAACATGCAGCTAGCATGAAGAGTGAGAAAATCACAGTACTGCAGAAATTAGGGCAAAATAAGAAAAGCTGTTACTAGAAACAATTCAGTGATCACAGTGAAGTGCTTTAGGTTAAATTGCATAAAAATTATTTTTTATTTAGAAATTTGATCAAAATAGTTTAACTTTTTTTATATAATGATATATTCCTTTTAATTTGTTTTCCTACTGCAGCTTCAATCTACAGCTCTGCACTGGGCATGCCGGGGAGGTAGTCTGGATGTTCTGAAATTCTTACTGGACAAAGGGATAAACATAAATGCAAGAGATAAGGTATGTGCTTCTGGGACTCTGCAGCTTTTTTAATTGGACATGAAAAGCTGATCCTTACTCCTAGTAGATAATTTTTGGCAGCTGTTTTTGAAGCAGCTTTTACCTGTTCCATGCCACTGACAGCTTCCTCTCCTCCCCCCTCAGCTGCTCAGCACCCCTTTGCACGTGGCTGTGAGAACAGGGCGATACGACTGTGGGGAACATCTCATTGCCTGTGAAGCAGATCTCAACGCCAGGGACAGAGTAAGTACCAGCAACCTCTTACCTGTCAGCTACCAGCTGGCATCAAGCTGCTGACTGCCTTGATAGTTCCACTTGCCTGTAAAAACCCCTGACTGTGCAGTTGGGGCTGGACTGTGGTGCTGGACCGGCAGGACTGACGTTGTGGTCCATGTCTCGTGTCTCTAGGAAGGAGACACTCCAATGCACGACGCCGTGAGGCTGAACCGCTACAAAATGATCCGGCTTCTGATTCTGCACGGAGCAGATTTAACGCTAAAGAACTGCGTAAGTAATAGCACAAAAATGAAGCAATTCGAAATGCTTTAAAATAAGTTTCCCTTCAGAGCAGTTCCATAGGCTTCAAGGCTGGGAGAAACTACTGTGAATAGACTTAATTAGATCACTTCAGAGCTAATTAAAGCAGAGCTGCAGCAAGGAAAGTGTAACTTGGGGCAGGTCAGGGAAAAAGAGAAAAACCCAGTACCTCTTTTAAAACTAGAAAGCATCAGCTGCCACTTAAAAAGCATCACATGTTTCTAAGATTTATTTTAATTACTCATATCCTACATTGAAAAGATACAATGGACAGACACTTACTCTGCACAACTCCTGGGCTTCGACCACCACTGAGACAACAAAGATCTTAGCTTGTCAGAGAAATCCCCTTTCTGTTAAGCCCACAGCTGATAGCCAGCCCCAGCACTACATCTGGATGACTGGCTGTTAACCTTACCACTGGGCAACAAATCCCTGTGGCTCAGGGGAGCTTCAAGAAGTCCCACACCTGACTCAGCTCACAGCTGCAGCAGCGTTGCTGGAGCTCTGTGACTGCTTGTTAAAATATAGCACATCATAGACCCTTTCTTGCAAATCCAAACCTAGCAGCAGTAGCATGGGGTTTAACATTGCCAGTCAATGTTTTTAAATGACAATCAATCAAAACTCCAGGGGACAAGGAAGAAAACAGTCACTGGAGCACTCTGTACTCCCTACTCTCTGCCCACCTCCCTGAAGCAGGGTAGCTCCTGGCATTATCCCTCATCAGGGTATGACAATGATAGAAGATAATTCCCCAAAGGCCAGAGACTTGCTTTCTCAGACTTTGGTCTTACTTAATTCCTGTGGTTCATACCCTAATTAACCAGTACAAACTCTCATCTGAATTCTGAATTAAAGAGAAAAGCATCTTATTGAAGTTTCACCTAAATATATTTCTAATCAGTTGAAACTAGAAGAAAAGAAACACCTGCATGTTCTGTTAATCACAGTATTTGCCAATATGGTTAGACTCACTAAAACCTTTTGCTCTGTAGAGTAAAAGTACTCTGACCTTAGGGAGCGAGACTAAGTCTTGAGCCTGTGTGTGCAGAGGGGTCTCACATCAGGAGATGCAGTGATGTATCTAGGAAAGAACAAGGACTCGGCAACCACTGGAAATTAAATCATGCTCCCTCTGCTTTTCTATCCAGCAAGGGAAAACGCCCATGGATCTTGTTCTTCAGTGGCAGAACGGCACCAAAGAGATATTCAACAGCCTGAAAAACAATTCCAAAAAGAGTGTCCATCCAGGCAAATTCTGAAGAGAGAAACCAGACCACTCTCTTTTTGCTGCTTTGAAATGCTTCACTCGAACCTGGATGAAGATGCCCTTGAACACAGTATTTTTATTGAAAATATTTATGGCACTGGATTATTTGAGGTACCTTCACCAAAAACTGCAAAAAACCCCCTGCAAAGTAATTATTTTAAAAGACAGATGGAGTGTTAAAATTCCACTGGCTCTAAAATGGCTTTATTTATTTCTATTTATTATTTATTTATTTAAAAGCAATTTTTAATGATTCTTAATATTATTTAAGCTTTTTTTTAATAGAGCTTTACATCCTAATGCAATCTTTGTCAGCAACATAAATCCTTTTATCTTAAATGGCAGTATTTCCAACCACATTAGCAACTTTACTCAAGCCTTCCAACAGCTCTAAATAGCGAATACTTGCAATTGTTGCCTTGTCTCTGCTGAGTTCTCACTATTAAAATAATCTGTGAAATGAGTGGTGATATGTGGAAGGGCAATGGAAGAAGGAATACTGAGATGCCAAGTGGATTTAAAGAAGTAGTTGAGTAATGGTGTTTACACAGGGTTTGGCAATCGTGGTTGATAAAGAGCTCAAGGACAGAGCTCCAACCATCATGTAATCATTTGGACTGGAGGATTCAGATGCCATGTTGTGAAGGTGAGAGGAGGCAGTATCAGAAATGTGAATTTTTTTTTTAAGCTAGACTACTACAAAGTATGATGACTGAAGAATGCAAAATCAGATTATGTATATTTGTAAATTTGTATTGCTTTTTCTGTACATTTTGAACTGATCCATTTCAGATTAAATAAACAGAGTGGTTTCTTTGTATTTGCTTGAGTGGATGATGGAGCGGTAACCATGCATGGGGTTATTTTTTCTCTCTTTAAAGGAAGTTCACATCTTGGCATCTGTAAAATTCTTAAAAACTTAGGGAAGAAGTCTGAGCTGCCAAGAGCAGCCAGCCCTCAAGCCACCTCCCTGCCACTGTTAGATAAATCCCATCTCTTACTCATTTTGTTTAATGACAGCACTTGAGTAAACAGTAAAACAAAGTTACAGTTTTATTACTGGATTTGATTAAAAAAAAAAATCTCATTCTCAACAAGTCAGTACTTACTATTTGGGGCACAAGACAACTCCAGTTACTCAAGCCAAGGGAGATGCCAAGTCCTGTTAGGAAAAGCAGACACTTCTCTCTTTGCTTTAGCAGAAGCAGGACAACCTTCACAATGCTGCCAGCCAGGGCATCGTGTCTCATTTCATAGACTGATAGAACAATTTGGGCTGGAAGGGATCTTTAAACATCATCTAGTCCAACCCCCTGCAAAGAGCAGGGACATCTTCAACTAGATCAAATTGCTCAGAGCCCTGTTCAGCCTGACCTTGAATGTTTCCAGGGATGGGACAACTACCACCTCTCTGGGCAACCTGTGGCACCACCCTCATTGTAAAAAACTTATTCCTTATATCCAATCTAAATCAAACCTCTTTTACTTTAAAACCATTACCCCTTGTCCTATCACAATAGGCCTTGATAAAAATTCTGGCAAGATCTTTCTTATAAGTCCCCTTTCAGTACTGAAAGGCCCCAATAAGGTGTTCCCAGAGCCTTCTCTACTTCAGGTTGAACTCAGCTCTCCCAGCACTTCCTCACAGGAGAAACGCTCTAGCCCTCTGATCATCTCTGTAGCCCTCTCTGGACCCACTCCAAAGGTCCATGTTCTTCCTGTGCTGAGGACTCCTGAGCAGGACACAGAACTGCACGTGGGAGAGAGCAGAGCAGAGAGGCATTCCATGCTGTATTCATGCACCAAACACATTTTGCTTCTTCTCCGGTTAGAGTATAATTATATATATATATATATATATATATATATATATATATATATATATATATATATATATATATATATATATATATTTGTTACTCCCCAATACCTATAATAAAATGGCCACAAAGTCAACAAATAAAGTGGTCAGAAGTCACAGAGCCAACAAACAAAATGATAACATAAAGGAAAAATATCTCATTATTTGTTGAATGAAGCAAAAGCTGTTGTGACTTACACCAGTATTATACAGAACTGTTAAGTCTACTGAGAACTTCCTCTATTCTGCTCAGTCCAGTTACCAAGAGCTCAGAGATGACCCAGTATTCTATGTGTTACAACTTCCACATGTTGTCAGGTGCAAATAGAGAACCGGAATATTTGCAGTAAAGTTCACTCGAGTATCTTGAATACAGTAGCTTATGTAATTTTTATATTAGTTTAATTTGGTCAACATTTGGAAGAGCTCTGAAAATGCTCTGCTGATCATAAATCTATTATGATTGGGTTTTTGGCAGCCAGATCAGGTTTACTGAGGCACTGAAGGAAGGAAAGGTAAGAGGCAGCAAAATGAACACGTGCACAGACAACAATTCCAGAACAGGCCATAAAGAAAGAAATGATGCAGTAAAGATGATGTGACGTGGAGACTGCTCAGGCCTAGGTGACACAGCTGTCACACTGCAACTGAAACACCCCATGCTGAGCACACATTCAGTGTAACCTTGGGCTCTTCCTTCCCATCTCTGGTAACCATCTAATGTTACTGCTTGGTTTTAAGTGCTGCAGGACACAGATGGCCTTCGGGATTTAAATCTGGCAGGTCAGGTCAGTCACTCCTACTGTAACACAAATCCAAGATATCTCCTAGCAACTGACAGATCCTGGGATCTTCACTGTAGCCATTGATCACAAAATGGAATGGGAAGCAGATTTTTTTTTTTACTGCACTATTATCTCTTCACAGGCCATTGAAGGTAAACTTCATCTACTGGTTTGCAGTTGTACAAAGACGTATTTAAAACTTAAGAAACCGTAAGAGCTAGACTATGAAGGCATGTGTTCTTAGAAACACTTTTAATAAAAAAGGAATGCACATGTACAAGTGAAAATTTCCATGTTAGAAATGTTCCATTGACTTTGCACTAATTCCAGGAGACCTAAGGCCAGGTGAAGAGTCAGTCTCCTGGCCAGAAGCCCAGCATGACCTTTCAGATGTGGTGAACTAACATTCAGCAGTCTCATTCACACAGCTTTCCTCACTTGAACACCAGAGGAATAATTCTTCTCCAGGCTAAACAAAGTAGTAAGGGAGGACTTGGGCTGGAGGGTGGAGGAAGACTCAACACTAGGTAAAGAAGAGGCTCCTGTTGACAGTTGTTTCAGTCCTCAAGCTTGAGTCTTAGCTTTTTTGCAGGCTGGCACTGTTGTTTCCTCCTCCTCAACCTTGCGAGGCTTCTTCACTGTGTACACCACCCCACAGGCAGTCTTCCGAGTTTCTGGAATATACAAGCAGAAGCTGCAGTACCTCAAATAAAATGACACTAATGCATTTAAGGCATGCTCAGTTCAGATGTCCATACCCCAAAGCACAGTTCAACATGTTGAACAACCAGCCAGTCAGCGTACACAGCACGCAAGCAACTGCAGGGGCAGGAGCTGGGGATTCACTGCATTACAGAATAGGGAAACTATGGGGGGATATACAATTGTGGACGTAGATTTACAGCAAACAAGGAAAAACTGAGGTCTGTAGGGACTGAAGGGCTGCAGAGACACCAACCCATAGGAAACGAGGCTTAATCAGTTCAGTAGTCACAGAAGGACACATTCTTGAAGCATTGTCAAAAGCATTTCTGAGCCAAAAATACCATTCTTAAAAAAATATTAAAAAAATGCATTCACATACTCCAGGACTCCTAAACAGACTATACTGGCACAGCTATATTGGCAGAGGATCCCCTACATACCCAATAAGTGGCTTTATGGTATTCAAGAATTTTATTTACCAAACCCTCAACATTACCATAAACTACTAGTGTGTGATGTTACCAAAATCCTCATGTTTGCCAAAGAACCTGGTGAAGCCCAATCCAACTTCATAATGACTGGTGGGAGGCTTCTCTGCAAAATTTGAAGGTAGAAGAAATTCCCTACAAATAGTCTGTTAGCAAAGAGGCTCTGAAAGAACCTTGCCAAAATATAATGACTTATTCTGGGCTAGAATTCTTTAGGGGACAGGGAAACAACATCTGCTATTTAATTTCACAGATAAGATAGACAGATAAGATAGATGAGGGTCTTGAGAAATTCTACATAAACTTGACAAAAATTCTTTCAACACACTCTATGCCTCTATGTAGATGAGCAGCAAGCTGGAGGAGGACCCTGCTCACAGGAATGCCCTCACCAAGAGATCAAAGCTACCTGCTGCAAATTACAGCAGGTTCAAGCCCCACTTCTACTGAAAAAAGAGATGCAGCCCAAATCCTACTGTGCATTTGCACCTTAGAGCAACTCAAGTTGTTGGGAAGGTGACTAGAAGTCACACCTACCCAACAAACCTTGACAGAGGCTGAAATTAAGAGATGACTACTCAGAAAGTTAAACTGCCATCAGAATAAACAACAAAAATCAACAAACTAAGAACCTATTCTGAAACAGGGGACAGTTTCACTATGAAGCACAGCAGGCAGGTCCCTATTTTGGCTAAACCATTTATGACTCGTTAATGTGGTTAAGTGAGTGCTCCAGCACAGACAACACCACCAGTTCCCCCACTGATTTGCTAACATGGTTACATGGGAAAAAAAAAAAACAAACCTTGCCACACAAGCTCCTCTTCATTCATTGCACAAGGGAGCTAAAATCCTAATCTGACTTGCTTTGTAAGGTCTCAGACCTCTTGGAAAATATGCATTAAGAGGAATTTATTTTAGCAAATGCACATGTTACTTAGAGGAGCTTACAAGTGCTCACCTCCATGAAGCATGGTGGCTCTGCAGTTGGTGGACACAGCTGCCTTTGCTTCGCTTTCCGACAGGCCAAACAGCAAACCTCTGTCAGCATTGCTCAGGATCAAAATGCACAGAAAGGAGCAAACAGAATAGGGAAGTCTCTCGGCACATAGGTTTGCTTACTCTACAAATAACTGGGAATTAGCAAAGCTGTAATTCAAAGTGACATTTTGCATAAGGTTACCCAGAGGCAGGGAACTGAGGCACCCAATTCTCCGGGCTGCAGTTCCCCAGCAGCCCTCCTGGCAACGTTGCTTTTTACCAGGCAAGAAGCTGTACTTTTGAAAAGAAAAGTCTGTCAATGCAGGAACATTTTAGACATGAATAATCAAGCAAAAAAATCACCCCATGGAAAATTTCAGTTTTGGGGAAAGGACACTGCCTGATACAAAAGCATCATGCTGAAAAGTTTCCAGCCACCTTCGGCAGGGATGACACCAGATTAGGTGTGTTAATTTGGGTTGAGCCTGACTGCTCATTTTAAGAGGGAAGAAAATGTTGCACATAAAATCCTTCCAGGCCGCACAACCTCCCACACAGTTCTCATGACTCAGAGCACGCTCCTTCCCTTCGAGGGACAGTCCAGAGATGTGCTTGTGGGGTGGGGAGAGCCATAAAAATGCATCTGAATTCCTAAAAGAAGGGAAGGAAAGACACTCTCCTTGGTTTCCAGAACACAACCACTTATTTAACGTTACATATGTAACTAAGGACTGGAAAATTCAGAAGTAATCAGCATTCAGATAGGAACTTCTTGTAATTTTACATAAATACAATTTTATAGCTTTTGCTACCAAATATGTGGCACTTTGGAGATCCTAAGTAATAATTTCTTGTTTGGTTTGCAGGGTCTGTAGACTTATATGTTTTTTATTCATTTCTCCATTTTCACCCACACAACATCAATGTATATCACAACAAAACATACCTGTAGCTGAACACAGACATTACTATCTGCAGTGACTACTCATACCACCCCATGACCAAGATCTGTTGCTACTTCCACACACACAGAGAGCCCTGATTCATTGAAGTGGTCACCAACAAGTATCACTGTATAAAGTTCAAGGACTGTAAAGGATGAAAGAATTTCAAAACCACTTTGAACTTTCAAGTGTTACTACTAACTGCTGTCTTTGACTGGTGAAAAGGATACAGATTAGCCACGTCATAAGGACCTCGTAGTTCTAGAGGCTAAAAAAAGACAAAGAAGTTTGAATATGTGCATGCCCTTGCTTGCAGGCTGACAGAGTGAGCAAGCAGGACAAGGCTATCAGGAAGGCAAGATTAAATTCTACATTAGAGCAAGTTGCTGAAGATACACTAGGAAATCAAACAAATACCACTGTTTTGGCAGAGTCCCCAGCTGGGAAAAAACTGTCATGGAAAATACTGCAGCAGCAACAAAAACCCCCCAGAAGCCTCAACAAAACAACAAAAAGAAAATCCCCAAACCCATAATACAATTCTTTGGTAAAGCAGATTGATTAAAAAACTCCTAAAGCTGGCAATCATATTTAAACTTACAATTTTTATATGTTTAGTTTTTAATTAAAGCTGTATTTTAAGCCACAGATAAATCTTCAAATTGTTCTGACTTCAAAAAAAAAAAATCTAGGACTTACCCTTTCAGCTGCACTAGATATAACTATGTTCTGGAAAACAAAAGAAGACAAACATTTATCTGTCAGACAGCATCAAGAAATGAAAAAAAAAATAATCAGAAAACAGCAAAGGCTTTATGAGCATTAACTAAGTTCAGGCTCAGAGCTCAATTAAACATCAGAGTATCTGAGGCCCTCAGATGAAGTGAACTCTAGTAGGGTGGGATCTTAATTCGAGGACATGATTAAACTCAGTTATTGCCCTGTCCCCTACACAGAGAGGGGCACTGGCACAAGCCTCCCTTGCAATTATAAACCTCTCACAGAGATATAGGAGTTGAGTAAGTACAGCACCTTTAAGAGGGACAGGCTAAGCAGTATAAATGTCAAGAGTGGTGGCATTAAGCAAGTACCTATCAGCCTGTATCACTCATAGTGGACTTCAAAGGGACCCTAAGGGTAAAGAAAAAAATGCAGAGCTGCAGACATGGTGTTAAGAAGTGCCCCCTTTATTTACACCAGCTGAAAGATGCCCCATACAAACAACAACGCGCTCTGAGATGTAAAGGACATGGATTTAGGAGTCCAGGATCCCCCAAAAGCAGCTTACAGATAGTGCCTTTAGACAGTTTAGTGCTCCTGAATTTTCAGCCTACTCTGTTGCAGTACAACTTGATGCTAAGCTCAGCATTCACGTTGGCCTTAATCAGATGCACAGTGGTTCAGGAAACCTATCTACACCTAGGCAGTGGCTGCCAATTTGTGCCATACCCTCAACACTGGCACCCCTACGAAAATTGCCAGGCTGAAAGAAATCCTTCTCACTTCACTCCTAAAAGGTTTCTGCAAAACAGGTATGTCAGTACACAGGGGCTGGCAGACACCACAGCTCAGCTACCAGAGCTTTTCTAAAGTTAAACCTCCAAGGATGCTCACCCAGGGGGAGACTGTTTTCCACAGGTGGAAACTCTGCAGCAGCAAAACTGCTTTGCACCTCTTATTACACTGAATAAAAAGCTTTGGGAATTCTTGCCTGAGTGGGTAGGAATGAGAATTGTACTGAGGCAGCAAAAGGCTTTCCCTCTCTGACGTCAGTACCACCAACACATCATGCCACCTCCACTTTCAAGGTGGGGCTTTAGATCCCTTTCTCACACTGCTATGCTTGTCCTGCCACCTCCACAGCATAAAGAGAAGGGCAGACACTGGAAGAAAATGCCCTGTGTGCAACTGGAACTCAACATGTGAAAGCTACATGAAAATGACTGTATGTTCACACTGTGCCCAAGGTTTCCTTGTGTGCTGAGGAGAGGATGGGTCAGACAATTCTGCCTTACCATAAGGAAGGCCAGAAGCGATACATACATCACAGTGACTTAACAGCACACGTCCTGATGGTGCCTAGGACATTTCTTTCTGCATAGTTCACCTTTAAATTGACTGCACTATGGATCCCAAGGGTGCTTTTGAGCTTCAGTGGTGCTGACTGCAAGAGTCTGTTGGGAAAATTCAAGTCTCCTGCTCCGAGCTGTAGCAACTAACGCTTGTGTCCCAGGCTCAGAGAAGCTCCCAGAGCAGCTGTGCAAGATCTTGAACCAGCACAGGATTGTGGTTCACCACTGTGCATGGGAGATATGCTCTGCCTGGTTCAAAGGCAACTGGCTTCCATTAGAGGATGGGTAAGACAGGAGAAGGAGACAAGAGCAGACAAGAAAAGCACTGCTAGCAAGCAAAAAGAGAGGTAGGCAAAGGCAAATCTACAGGAAGGGCTAAAGGGAAAAACTCAAAGGCAAAACACTATCTCCCCAGGTAAAGGAGACAGCAGCTGTTCAGAACACTGCTCCAGGTAGCACTCAGACTCAGTTACCAAAACACAGGAGGTGAGGGACTGTGGCTATGCACACCTTCTGACTAGCAAGGCAGGCAAATCCCTTCTTCATCCCCTGCACACTTTAACATGTTTTAAGGACTCCGCGCAATGCAGGCACCAGCAAATTTCTGGAAGTTTCTCTGCCCTGCTACAACAGAGGAAGAACAAAAGGATCCAAAAGGTTCTGCAAGTTCAGCAACTAAACTTTACAGAAGGCAAGACTTGGGTGCCAGGTGCCAATGCAAGTAGTCTATGGACCAGCCATCTCCTGTCTCATTAAAAAAAAATTTAAAAAGCGCCTTTACACGACTGATGGAAGCAAACTGTCAGTAAGGGCTAACAACCAGCTCTGCTGGCTACAGATTGAAGACTGACAGGTGCAGAATAAAAGCATGCAAGCCTGAGCATCTGAACATCTCACTTGCCCTGTTTGTGACATCAACTCAACTGGTCCTCTCCAAATCAACAACCATGTGAGAAGCACATCTTGAACTGCACAGAGGAAAGAGAAGCACTGGCAAAAAACGAATGTCAAAGGAAAGGGGCCTGCTGTGTATATAATTCATGCCCAAGTCAGTATTTTGTGCAATTAACTCCCAGAGCTGGGCTTCTCAGGAAAGACTGTGCAAATACTTACTTTATTCTGTAGCACCAAGGGAATTAACCTGCTTGACCCACTCTGCTGTCCTATAAAAGTTGCCATGCCTGAGGGGAACTGAGGTAATGATGGATCTACTTTTAATTTGCCTTCCAAGCTCTATATCCCACTTCAGACTAGATTTGCAGGGTAAGGCCAATTTCAGCTTCTCTGGACTAGCTGTGGCAAAGGCCATTTCCAATAAAGTTGGCGGGAGCTACAATTTCTTTTAACTTGGTATGTATTTTGATATGCTTCCCTATTAAAAAATCATGTCCTGAGAGGACCCAGCATGACAGACAGCTTAACCTGGTAGCCTGGGAGGAGGGAAGTTATGAAAGCAATGGATTACAGACATCTCAGCATTACTTCTTCCTTGGGTTTCAGTAGCATGGAAGAATGCAGTTGATCTGACTGCAGCAAAGTCTTGGCTGACAGCCAGCTAGCTGTTGGGTCTGTTTTGTACACAGGGAATTTACTAACTATTTAACAAAACAAGATTTCTACTTTTTTTCTTATCATTTTCTATCCCCCCATATTCAATATATCAATAAAAGAGCTTCTGGTCAATCAGAAATATGAAATGGGGGATTTGAAAGAAATGCATGGATTTCAGTTCTATTGCAAATCTTAGATCTCTGGAACTTTATTCTCTCCCCATCCCCTCCCATCTTTGTTTTGGGAATTGCACACCACAAAAAAACATAGGTTGTTCTGAAAAAAAGAATCTAACATCTTGACAACTTAAGAAAGCAGGCAGTGGTGAAAGGCTGGAAGTATCTGGAACTAGAATAATTGTGTCCTTGTGTTAGTAGGCAAGGATTCAGTCACAGCTTCAGATACCCTGGCATCAAACTCATTTAAAATGGCTCAGTCTGTACAACTCTAGAAGAATTTGAACTGAATTAATTACCTAGTTTTCACTTTGAGAGCTTACCTTTCCTTTGCAGATCTGCATCAGGCTGATAGCATTGGAAATTGTGTATCTTCTCATTGTGGAGTCTTTGATGGCAGGCGTGTAAAGAAGTTCAAAGTAAATGCCTCGATCTATTGCCTTCACATGAAAGAGAGTAATCAAAAATCAAAAGGAGAGAAGCCTAACAATCTAACAACTGCTGTCTATTATTGATGTAGCTTATTCTCAGTTTAACTGTTTTATATATGAAAAAATGAAGGAGGAATTTTTCCAGCAAAAGCCCAGCATAGCATGAAAGGATCATAGGGGAAAGCTCCACTGTACATCAGGTATGTGTACTTGAATCTTGGGATGACAGATAAATGAGGTTTAACAAACAGAATTACCAGCCACTTAGTTGTTTTAATTGGCTTTACACTATCACAGAGATGAGGAAACAGGTAAACACTGCTGGTCAGAAACAAGTGTTGAAACCTTGAGGACTCCACTCCTCTAGTCCCACACCCTCCTGTAAGGAAGATCACCACTTCCCACAGTACCCATGTCTTGCAGATGAAGAATTTGTCCTTGCATAAAAGCAGCAATCAAGACTCTTCTCCTGTCTCACAGCATACTCTGGTATTTGTGACAATATTAAATAACACTGAGTCACAGAAGAGGTTCCAAATAGTAATACTGATTATATTTTCAGCTGCTTTAAAACCTTTGCTATCTATCAAAGTACCTCACCAAAAGCCTAGTATTCTTGTTTTTGCAAACAGAGAAAGGTTAGGCAACTTGCTATGGGGCACAGTGCACTAGTGATAAAGACACAATTTAGAGCTGGGAGTTCTTTGGTCCATGGCCTATAATACATTTGCCTGAAGTGATACTCTATGCTTAATACTCATTAAAATATGCTGCAATGCTAATATTGTAAGAGAGTCCAGTAACTGAATACAGATGGAATTAATCCAGCTCCCATCCATGCATGACCTCTGCATGCAAGCACAACAGAAGCTATGTATACATCAAATGGTTCACACAGAACTGGTCTGACATCTGCAAACAAGAGAAGCCGGACTTTATCAAAACCAAAACAGGTGATGGCAATACACCAATTTCCAGTCAAGCAGATTTTTAACCTCACCCCCACCACTTCAGCTGCCTGCCAATCTGTCTGTCTGGCATTGTAACAACCAAAACTGACTGCCCTGGGATGCACAAAACCAGTCCAACAGACAGAATGCCTTGCAGCTGGGAGTGTGAAAGATGAGAAGTAGCTTGTAAGGAAAATGTCTCCCAACACAGGGCTCCAAGAGCCACACAGCTCCTTACCTGGATCATCTTCTGGAGTTTTAGGCAGCTAAGGTACTCTCAAACAACATTTCATACAAAATTGTTATTCCAGGTGGAATGTTAAAGTTCTCAGTTTATAATAAAATCTGATGTAATATTTTTATTCTGTTTCAGAATTAATTCTAGCTAATTTTTAATTTTTATTCTAGGTCAAACTTTCTGAGAAAAGGAAGTAGGATTACTAGCCAATTCCAAATTTAAATTTTTAAGCACTAAGGACTACATCAGCCAAAAATACCCATGTGGAATGAACCTGGACATATATTCAGAGGAAACAACTAGTTCACCTAAGAGCATGTTCAGATTAAACTTTCTGGCAAGCCACCAAAGTAGGCAGAACTGAATTAAAAAAATATTGGATCCACGCTGACAGTCATCTTGTGTCTCACAGCAGATATTTAGCAATTTCACATTTGGTTCAATTACCAAGACATTCTTTTGTCTAAGTATGGATTCAACACAGTTGTCTTCCAAGTAACCAGTACATCATCTTTCTCCTAAATTAACACTGTCATTCATGTTTCTTGTCTTTCAAATCACGGGGCTGTTTATCTATTCTGACACAGCTGTACCACTTCTGGTTTGGGAAGCAGCTTAGTCAGCAATCACACCACATCTCATTGCTTGGCAGAGCAGTGGCCTTAAGGCTCTGTTTCCATTCCTTGGGAACACCACTTCTGCCTTCTTAAGTGGGGGACAGGAGGAGAAAAAGAAAGAATATACATCACTGTGTATTAAATGCTGCAGTGGAGGCCCTGAAGTGAGGGACATCTGGAACAACACCATATATTATGCAAGAAAATAAAAGAACTGCTTAGATGGGAATGGTGGGAGGAAAGGAGTAGGGAATTCAACACAAATTCTGTATTTAATGTCAGTTCAGTCTAACGGCAAAAAAACAATTAGATGTAAATTTACCATATTCACAGGGGGCCTTCGGAAGTAGAACGGCAGCTTTTCTGTGACATTTATGCATACCAGATCCACATCTAGAGTTGTGCAAGCTATCTACAGCAAAGAGACAGGAACAGGTTATTAGATATGCCAAAGAAAATGCATAACCAACTTCAGGTGCATTAATGTTCTCTTTCATTTCTTAATGCAACAAATGCCTCTCCAAGGTCAGTTCAGTTTTAAAATTAAGACGTACTATGCCATGCAGGTATGCCAATAGAACAGCAGGGCTACAAATGCACAGCCTGAGCATCTGAGGCTTAAACCTCAAGTCTTCCCTCACTCAGAGAGCTACTTTTCCAATAAATTAATGACCAACCCCAAAGCAAGGCTTACTGCTTTGTTTTTATCTGATAGAGGACATGCAGAAGCAATGCTAGCTTTTGACAAAAGAACTCACAGGTTCAACCTGTGACAGGAACAACCCCAGTTTACAAAGGGAACAACCCAGGAACTGCCCCCTACCCTATCATGCTCTACTTCCAGTGCAACACCTGTTTGTTTTCAGGATTAGTTATTTTTACCAAAAGCAACAAAAACTGAAAGAAAAGCAGAATTTTAGACAGTGACTGGTGGTGTTGCATGTCCAGTACTGGAGACCGATCCACAGAGCCTCTCTTTCTTGGCTAGGTGGAGAATGGGCAGCTTTTTCTGAGAGCCACACCTCTGGTGGGGCCTGAAGATGGCACTGAAGGCTACAGTTTAAAAATTTAACTTTGAATTCATACCACAATTTACAGGTTGTATTAAGAGATGGAGGGAACGACCAACGGGTGGAGACTCATCACACTGAGATACAGGGAAAATCAACTGCACATAAAAGGGAGCCCTTAGTTTACATTGACCACATGCACACAAGGTATGCAGGAATTATATGTGCCTACCCAATAAAGATGATTACACAGGGCCAGACTAATCTCTGCAAACAGCGTTGTAACAAAGAAAATAAAATAGGCTGAGGAAGTTGAAAAGGAATTTTCTGTGTGTAGGGGAACTCTCTGCTTTCAGAAACCTGCCAGCAACTGCTCCAAATACACCTGGGCCAGGCGCCAACCATTCATCCCTCCTCCCACCGGCATGAAAGCAGCGGGGGTTGCGGGTAGTCCCAGGGCTGGGCTGCTCTGATGCAAGGCAGCCTATTGCTTTGCAAACTACTCTTCTACCAGTCTGTTCGCAGGGAATTTGGATGGAGATGAGAGCAGACACCCAGCTTTAGGAATGTTTCTTAGCTGTTGATAGCGCTCCCTCCTAGACAAGACAGCCACAGCACACATGCAGTCAAACCACAAGGTTTTTGAAGTCAAAATATCTCTACCAGGCCGTTCAGACTAAAGTTTATCAGCTCTGTTAGACAGGACACTGTTGGAATCTATTGCATAGAATTAAACTTGCATGTGGAAGTTCAGCCCTACTACAGCCAGTCTTCCTCCTTGTCTTACATGAAACACAAACTACCAGACAGAGGTGATTAACAGGAACATGCACAGAACAAACAGCTGTGAATCATGTTCTTGAAAGGATGTCAGTGAGGCCATAGAAAATACAGGAAGAGATAATGCTAAAAATGAAGGAAAGCAAAAACAGACATCAGAAGCATTCAAGCTTCCCTATGTCGTGAGAAATCAAGCCTTCCTAATCAGCTCCAGAAACACTGGAAAAGTCTTTTCCAGTTTGCAAATTAAGCACAGTTGGAGAGAGAGTGACTCAAATGCCAGGATATCTACAGGATTCCAGTGACCAGAACATTTCAGAAAATACCACCAAGGGAAAACAAAATTAAGAGTCATACCTCCTCCTGAGGAATTCCTGCACTGCACGGAAAACTGGAGAGGAGATTTCTCCAGACATTCTTATGTTCAGCCAATCTCTGGCTCACAAGTCACACATGCAGGCAACTTAAGGTTACCCTGCCTGCTGAAAGGATCTGAAGTACAACAACTTCATACAGAAAATTACATGCAGTGGTTGCATAGCCCAGCACCTGCCTGGCCACACTGTGGGCAAGAGCCCCATCTGCTGGGAAACTCTAGACAGCCCTAAATAAATAAATTTGCCACTGTTTGGATGCTCTGAAGCAAGCTTTGGCAATATTTTAGGAAAAAACATTGAAATTTGGCTTTGCACTACATCCTGAAACTTACACGAGCAAGTTTTTTTAGATACTGGTGATCAGCTAATTGCTTACAAACAGCAAACAGAGCTAACTAATACAATTAACATTCAGAAATCTTAAAAAGCAAAAGTTTTGAAAAGCAACAGGTACAGACCTTATTACTGGCACAGAGTGGGTGTTCCTGTTGCAGCCCAAAACAATCCTTCTGGGAGACTTAAAGAAGAAGCCTGTTCTACAATTGGCAAATATAGCTTCCTCATACCCTTGAGGTAATGCTGAATTACCAAAAGCCAATTTTAAAATATGAAGTTGATTTGTGACCCACTCTAGATGGCTTTATTCTTAATGGAGAAACATCCATGAGTCATAAGAGCCAAATGTAGGTGCTGAAACCCCATATGTAATGTCACTTGTGTCAGACTCCCTGTCGATACCTCTACAAAACTGACATAGTCCTCCACAGACAGTTTAGAAAATCTAAAATCTTAAAACAAAAGCCACACATTCAAACCTGCCCTGAACGTGAACATGTAAGGATGAAGTCTTTCACCTCATGTGGTTTGCAAGGAACATGTTTGGGTTCCATCCCCAGCTCAAAGTGCTGCCAGCATGGAAGCAATGAAGATGGTCCCACTGACAATCCTGCTTCTGTCCTAACACACTGCACGGAGTCTCAGCTTAACCAGTCTCTATCTGCACTAGCCTGCCCAGAGCACAGCCATCCACTTTGTGCCACAATGACCCACATGGCTGAATCAGAGCACAAAAGCGGATCTGCCTGAAAAATAACTTGGCAAAAACTCTGGTTACTGTTCAGCCAAAAGCAGGTTCCTCAAAGCAAACTGCCAGGCAGCTAGGCATACAAGCAGCCTCATCAGCAGAGCAGTCAGGGACCTGCAGAAATGAGTGTTTTTCATGCAGAAATGTTTATGACAGCTTAAGCACCGCCACAGCTGGATGTCCAACTACAGCAGGACTCATGATATGCCTGAAAATAAACAATAATCACCCTTAAATGAGAGCACATCTTTCCCCTAAAAACAACACAGCATACCCCTGCTGATTATCTAACTTCAGGCACTTGTTTAAACATATGATAACTGATTGAGCTTACTTAAGAAGTGAGATTTTATGCTGTTGCCAGAGATCAAAAGAGAGAGGTGGAGAGTGGTCCTTAAAAGTATTTTACAACCGTTTGCCTCCATCACACCCCCAAGAGTCCTAAAATCTTGCACGGGAAATAAATTCAGAAATTAGTTTTATTAAGCTGTAACTGTTATAATAAATGCTTGAATTCTTCTACTGAAAGATTCTTTAAAGTTCACCTTCTTCTACAGCCTCTTGCTTTGTACTTTACTTGGACAAGTCTTCAAAAAGGAGGGGAAATAATTTAGAAAAACAAAACAGAAGAATATAATTTTTAAGTGGTAAAACAGGTACTCAACAGTACTGGAAAGTGGCTTTAACTTTTTTAGAAAAGCCAACCACCAGACTCAGTTTTAAACTGACAAGTTCCCTTTGAAAGTAAATTCTCCAAAGAGACTCTCAGTTGTTTTTGGTGTCCCTGTGCCTCCTTAACACTGCCTCACACAACAAGCACGCCTGCTTCCTGACTGCCAAGGCTGACAGAGATGGGATGCTTCCATCTACTCTCACAGTTCAGACTTAACTATATTTATGAGCTTACAACAGGTCAGACATCACAATACTGGGTTTTGTAAGAAAAAATCTGATAAAAACATCATTTGCTTCAAAGTGCTCCACCTGATCAGAACATTGACATCAGCTGTTAACAAGCATTTGAGAACAATTTAAATAAAAATATGAGGGAAATGGAGGTGAACACCTATCACCCAACAAGCCAAGCTGAGATCTTTCTGTCTCAGACAGTGTTTTAAAACTAGGATTTTTTCTGGTATGAAAGTTGTATTGAAGACATACCAGCTATGAATAAAGGCTGGAAAACAATACAATGCTTGGTGCTTTTAGTAATGGTTAAAGAGTTACTGCACATCACTGTATTCAGAAGTATCAACTCTCACTAATGTCTTCTCCAGTCAAACACCAGAAATAAAACAAACCAGTTCACTGTCAAACACACTAGCAACACCTTGTTTTTCTAACATGACAGAAATGACAGAGTATTGGGGGGCTTGTTCAAAATATTTGCATTTCTATTAACATAAACCAACGTGAGAAACAATGCTGTTGAGCTATGGTCACAAATTAGTCCTAACTAAGGTTTGCAAATTATTCACACCCATTATTTACTCTCATACTGGGGGTGCTACCACTGCTACAAACACCAACACCTGTTCAGTAACACCTTCAAAGACTCACCAATTTTGTGGAGGTAGTTTTCAGCTGCAAGTTTACTCTGAACAGTCAGGATAAAATCTGAGTGAGAAAATGACCGTCTGCCCTTCAAGTGTTTCCCCTGAGGCTGTTCTACTTTTGTACAGCCTCAATGGTTTTCTCAGCAGGCAAAGCAACAGATGTATCATGAAATCACAGAAGTGAAGCTTCTCTCATTCAACTTGAGCATCCAAAACACTCAAAACAAAAACAGAAATCTCAGTCTGACAATGAAGCAAGGGCTATTGGGCTTAATCAGGCATATTTACTTTTGGAAATTTTAGTTTATCTGTTCATAAGATGCTGTGACAACCAGAACTGGCTCTGTCTTGTAAGCTCCTGCTCCTCTTTTGATTTAAAATAAAGAAGGAAAAAGAAACAGAAGAAAGATATCAGCTATTCTTTTGGACAAACTTTCAGGAGAGGACCTAGGACTAAAAGGAAGAAGGTAACTCTCAGAATCACATTAGTTCCACTTTAAAATCCTCCCCAGCATTTCAGAAACCTGGAACAATTAATGCTAACAGAAGATCACAAGTGTGTTTTGGGGAAGTCAGAGTTTGAGAAATTAAAGTTCAAGAGAAAATTTTTCTACATGATGATAAAACACATATATCAGGGGGAAAAAAAGATGTTTTCTCTCCTCATTAGAGTACAAGGCACACAAAGGCAACCACAGTGCAGAGGCAGACAAGTCCATTCATCAGGTAGAACAGGTAGATGTTTCAGGCTCTGACCTGTCACCTCAAGGCCTTGCAGCCTCCTGCAATCCCTCCCAACCTGCTCAGACTATTAACTGACCAGGCAGCCTATAATGCTTAATTAGCCCCATAAGGTCCTTATAAAATAGGAAATAAAATCTAAACAAAGCATGTACTTAAACTAGCTCAAGGTACTAAAAGTTATTGAATAAGCATTACAGATCAGATGATTGTACTCACATGGAACAGTTTCTCAGTCTTTGGAAATACTGCTATGATGTCATATAACCTTATATTTGCAGATGTTGATCTCTACAAAAGGAGCAAAAAATTACTACCTTTAATTCTGGCAGATATCAAATCTATGCACAATGATTAAAACCAAAATAATGAGAAGAAAAATTCTTTTTTCCTAGTACTAAAATAAAGCCAATAATCATCCAACTACACAGTAGGTCTCTACTGTGAAGTCATACATTCTCAATTTGAGCCTTACTGCCACCCACCTACTAAGGCACTTAAACCTTTTGCTTCAATCATGTAACACTAAAACACAACCAGACACAAGGCTTGCTCATGGTCTTCCAGTTTATGCACAGAAGTCCAGAAATTGAAGAAAAGAACCAAGGAACAGAACTACTGTTTCTTATTGAACACATGATCAGCAGAAGCCATATCCAGTCTTGTAAGTCTGCACCTCTTCGTGATCACATTATTTGTTAAAGATGCAATCTGAGAAATCACTGCTGAGTGCCCTATAAAATCTAGGGAGTTCTCCCCATAAAATTTCCAAAATTTTATTTATTCACTGAGAAAAAGAAACAAAAATTGGAAAATCGATTACTAAATATACTTACCAAGAGATTACAGTGGGAAGGATCAGAAACAACAAGTGTTAGCCGGGTTAAGACTTTAATTCTTTTAGATGTCCCCTACAGAACAAGAAATAATATAAAAGACTTAAAAACCACCAAAGAAAAAAATTTGTGGTGATTTCCACCCAGCCTGGTATAAAAAGAAAACGGTGCCTTGCTTATAGTCTTACTATACTAGTTTTCCAAAGTCTGTATTTACACTTCCCTAATTTATATTATCTCTTTGGTATTATACTTGTCCTTACAAAGAACGACACTTGTGTTTCTCTGAGTAAGGGTCAACAGAAAGAAAAAAGAAAGAAATAAAGAAAAAAAATCACGCAGAAAAACTGAGTATGTTTTATTACTGCTATAATTCCCCAGGTAGGCCACTGCAAGTTCCTGAATTAATATCAATGACCTGAAATAGTCTTGTATTTTATTATATCCAAATTTTGCTCCATCAAAACCAGGAAGTTATTTCCAAAACTCAAATTTCAAGAACTGTACTGTAATTATTCAACTACAAGCAGATTCAAAATTCACATAAAGCAATCTTTAAAAATTTCTACAATAATGAATAGAGACTAATGTGAGTGTAACATTCTTCCAAAGCTTGGTGTTTTTAACCATCAAACAACGGACAAATTTCTCTTTTCTGATTAACATCTAATATACAAAATCACATATACAAACACACCAAGGCAAAAAAATGTATCTCAGAATAATAATACACAGATAGAATGTAACTACACATACTTGTACAATAGGCAAAGATGGAAACAACTCTGAAGGAGATACTGGCTTGATGATTTCCTTAAAAGAGAATAGAACAAAGTTATTAAAAATGTGATGGGTTAGGTTTACAACTAAACAAAAGCTGTGTTCCGCTCATGAGAAGAAATTTACCATGTTAACAAAACTATTTCCCTGGGACAGTACACAAACCATACTAAAAATTAACCCAAGGGCAATAATACTAAATTATAAAATGGGAGTTTCTTACAAATACAGATCTTTCTACTTGTGTCTAGATATGCATTCTGCAGATAAAGCTATCTGGGAACATGCAATAAAGCAGTAGGTTTACTAGAGAAAATACGCTAAAAAATAATCCCAAGAAAAATTACCTGTTTCTTTTCTTTAAAATCGATGACATGATTAAGAGCAACTGCAGAATATCCCACTGAAAAACACACAATAAGAGTGTTTTGTCCAGTAAACTAATGGAAACAAATCCAATCAAAAAACTGTTAAACAGTCATTACTTAAAGGTCTTAAAATTAATAAATCGGGTACATATTTAGCTTTCACGTTATTTTTTTTAAAAGGTTGGTTCACCCAAGAAAGTGTTTTAAAATAAAAAAACCAAACTGTTTGCCTTTTAACATATCCCCGCCTGACAACTTTTACTCAATGGCAGAACTTTACGAACACGAATACTTGGGGTTGAGGTCCTCAAAGATCTGGCCGAGTTTGGCCCCGTTTATTACTTTCTTTACGGAAAATTGTTAAGTACATTCAGGACAGTTGTTAAAACTGCAGGCGACGCAGAGCTGGGAGAGACACAACTATGGGAGAAGGCAAATATGAGGACTCAAAATGATGCCGACGAAACTGAAAGGTGTCGTTCAGAAGGACTCTAAAGAAGATGGTAAATTTAACAGGGGCATTTAAATCACCTCCAAACAGTGGGCAGGCAGCACCTGGCTGTACAACAGTTCTGCAGGAAAAGAGCCGGGTCATAAGAAACTGCAGCCGGAAAAACTTGTCCGCGTTGGGAAAAATACAACTGTTACGCTGGGATAAGCGGACACAGAGCCTGCGAAGCACACCACGAGCTTCCCCCGCTGCTCAGAGCCGGGCACTTGCAGAAAACTGCAGGCTGAGCAGGGAGAGCGCGGAGGCGCCGGGGAACACGCGCCCGCGTGGGAGAGGGGTCGGCCGGCGCGGAGGGAAGGAAAGGCTCACC